GTAGGTATAGGTACGGTACAAGTAGTAGACAGGTCTTGTCTGGGTTCCAAATACTGCAAAGGTGTAGATGTGGGGTCTTATATGGCGTGAGGGTAAGGTATACGTACTTTGAAAAGACCTGTACGTAAACCTACACCTATACCTGTACCTATACTGGGGTGGTTTAGGTACTGCGCTGCCCAGATACACCTGTCCAAAACCTGTACCTAGACTGGGTGTGGAAAAAGTGCTGCCGACACTGCTCCTCCAGACACACCTGTCCTACACCTGTACCTATACTGGGGGGGTGTAGGTACTGTCTGGGTTCCAAGGCCCTCATACTCGGGCGGATGCGGGGTCTTATGTGTGTGGGGGCGTGAGGGTGTACCTGGAAGGGGCGCTCTTGCTTACGTGCCCGCGTGATACACTTGTCCTATACCTATACCTGTACTGGGACTGCCGACACTGCCCCAGATACACCTGTCCTAAACCTGCCCCTGTTTAGGTACTGTCTGGGTTCCAAGCCCCTTCTACTGGGAAGGTTTACATGTGGGGTCTTATATGGCGTGAGGGTGTACCTGGAAGGTATAGGTACTTTTTACAGACCTGTACGTATACCTATACCTATGCCTGTACCTATACTGGGGTGGTTTGGGTACTGATACACCTGTCCAAAACCTGTACCTAGACTGGGTGTGGAAAAAGTGCTGCCGACACTGCTCCTCCAGACACACCTGTCCTACACCTGTACCTATACTGGGGGGGGTTTAGGTACTGTCTGGGTTCGGGTGTACCTGGAAGGGGCGCTCTTGCTTACGTGCCCGCGTGATACACTTGTCCTATACCTATACCGGTACTGGGACTGCCGACACTGCCCAAATACACTTGTCCTATACCTATACCTATACTGGGGGGGTTTAGGTACTGCCTACACTGCCCAAATACACTTGTCCTTTACCTGTCCCTGTACTGAGGGGGGTTTAGGTAGCTGCCCAGATACACTTGTCTTATACCTATACCTATACTAAGGGGGTTTAGGTACTGCTGCACTGCCCAGATATACTTGTCCTATACCTATACCTATACTGGGGGGGTTTAGGTACTGTCTGGGTACCATGTGCTGCATCTCTGTGTTTGTTTGCTGGTTTGTGTGTTTGCGTGTTTGTGTGATTGTGTTTGCGTGTTTGTGTGTATGGGCGGTTGTGTGTGTGTGTGTGTGTTTGTCTGTGTGTGTGCGTGGTTGTGTGTGTGTGTGCGCTTGTGTTTCTGCGGTTGTGTGCTTATGATTGCTTGTGTGATTGTGTGAGGGTGTTTTGGGGTGGGTTTTTGTGTGTTTGTGGTTGCTTGTGTATTTGTGTGGTTGTGTGGTTGTGTGGTTGTGTGTTTGTGTTTGCGCGTGTGTGTGTGTGTGTTTGTGTTTGTGCATTTGCGCGGTTTGTGTGTGTGTTAATGTGTTGCGCGCTTCTGTGTTTGTGCGTGTGTGCGGGTGCGTGTGCGTGTGCGTGCGCGTGTGGGTGTGTGTGTGTGTGTGCTTGGTTGTTTGTGTGTGTGTTAATGTGTTGCTTGCTTGATTGCTTGTTTGTGTGTTTGACCGTTTTTTGTTTTTTTCTTGTTTGTGCGCTTGCTTGGCTGGTTGGCTGTTTGATTGCTTTGCTTGTTTGTTGGTATGTTTGCTTGTGTATTTGTTTGCTTGTTTGTTGTTGCTCGTTTGGTTGTTGTTTTGTTTGTTGGTTTGCTTCTTTGCTTGATGGTTTGTTTGCTTGATTGTTTGTGTGCGTGTGATAGATTGCTTGTTTGCTAGTGCGTTTGTTTGTTTGCTTGATTGGTTTGCTGTGTGTTTCACGCTGTATTTGTTTGCTTGCTTGTTTGTTTGATTCTTTGCTTCTTTGTTTCTTTATTTGTTTATTTGTCTGTTTGTTTGTTTATTTCTTGGTTGATTGGTTGCTTGCTTACTTGCCTTCTTGCTTGAATGCTTGTTTGTTTGTTTGTTTGGTTGGTTGTTTGTGTGTTGTTGCGTTCGTGTGTTCGTGCGCTTGTGTGATTGTTTGCTTGTCTGTTTTGCTTGTTTGTTTGCTTGTTTGTTTGTGTGTGTGTCTGTTTGTTTGTTTGTCTGTTTGTTTGATTGTTTGTTTGTTGGTTCGTTGGTTGCTTGGTTGGTTGGTTGGTGTGTTTGTGTGTGTTTGTGTTTGTTTGTGTTTGTTTGTGTTTGTTTGTGTGTTTGTGTGTTTGTTTGCTTGCTTGCTTGCTTGCTTGTTTGTTTGTTCGTTTGTTTGTTTGTTTGTTTGTGTGTCTGTCTGTGTGTCTGTCTGTGTGTCTGTCTGTCTGTCTATCTGTCTGTCTGTCTGCCTGCCTGTCTGTCTGTCTGTCTGTCTGTCTGTCTGTCTGTGTGTCTGTTTGTGCGCCTGTCTGTGTGTCTGTCTGTCTGTCTGTGTGCGTTTGTTTGTTTGTTTGTTTGTTTGCTTGCTTGTTTGTTCGCTTGTTTGTTTGTTTGTTTCTGTGTCTGTCTGTCTGTCTGTCTGTC